AGGAGTTCAGAGACTGTTAGGTATACTGCTGCCTTCAGGAAGATTAGACAAACAGAAAAAACTGAGGGCTGGTTCAGTATAAGTAAAGCAGTACCAAGTGCATATCCATAAACACAGAGGGGTGGGAGCTGTGTCCTTCAATTAACTTTAAGAAATTGATTTTACCATAAGTTCAAAAATCCCATTTACTTTTTGTTCATTGGCGGACACTGCAATTTAAAGAATGTCGGGCATCCAAAAGCAGTACAACTGAAAGGTGAGCAACAGCAACTAAACACCAACAGGCCCATACAAAGAAACAACAGAACTTGGGACTGCCCGCAACTCAAAAGAGCCATCTACAGGGCCTCACACCAGAAGCTGGCATAAGATTAAGCCTGGACATCCACTTGGTAGGACTTGCAAAAACATGCATGTAGAATGCCAGGTGACAGGCTAGTAAATCTGGGAAACAGTTGCTTGATACTGCAAAGCCCAAGAAGCACTCACAGATTTAGCATAGTGCACCTTGACAGGAAGGGGTGGAACCTGATCCTTAAGACCACAAGCTTGAAAGGTGGTCTGTCTAAGCCACAGAGAAATGGTGGAAACAGAAGCGGGTTCTCCTAATCATTGAGAATGACAGATAAGCTGGCCATACTCTGTTAATATTTTGCTCATTCAAACTGCGGGCTGAACAAAGAAAATATTAGATTCCTCCATCAACGCTTAGGAGCGTTGATGGAGGAATCTCCCGTTCTCTTTATTGTGTTCTGACTTTGATCAACTGATCAAGGGATACTGGGTTAAAGGGTGCCGACAGCGGCACCCACTGTGCAAACTTAGACCAGTTCTTGAAGAAATTAATCAAAAACTGAGCAAAATTCGAAATAGTGTATGGCCAGCTTTAGACTTCTTAATGGACATAGTGGCTACAAGAGATCTCTTTCTGATAAACTGTAGCCAGCTCAAGGAATGAAGAACGATTTCCTGGGCTGAAACTACATGAGTAGGGAAAATTGAGGCCTCAACACCATCTTGTGCCTGTGTAAGACCAATTTTTTTTGTTCCCTCATATTTTCTATATTGGTTAAGTTTTGATTTTAATATTGTATTAAGGTATATAATCCATATACTATGAACTGTGGTAGTTGACAGTGTATGCCTTTACTAGCATATTTTTCATATGGATAACGTTTATCTTTGATTACAACACACATTCACCGTGGCATCATTTCAATAAGCTTATGCAATGTCACAACATTTATTTCCATCCAGAGTTGCATTCATTTTTCCCCAAGATCTTGTATAGTGATGATCGGAGAGTCGGACCACTGCGTAAAGTCTTCTCCAGCACATCCCAAAGATTCTGAATGGGGTTTAAGTCTGGACTCTGTGGTGGACAATCCATGTGTGGAAATGATGTCTCATGCTCCCTGAACCACTCTTTCAAAATTTGATTCCAATGAATCCTAGCATTGTCATCTTGGAATATGCCTGTGCCATCAGGAAATAGAAAATCCATCGATGGAAAAACCTGGTCATTCAATATATTCAGGTAGGCAGGCGTTGGGCACATAATGTTGGTGAACTTGGACCTGACCAACTGAAGCAACCCCTAAAGCTCTTACTCATTTGCTTAGCTAAATGCAGGTGTTACTTTTTTGGGGGCCAAGCAGTGTATAAGCACTAGTGTATAAGCACTATAGTGTATAAGCACTATAAGTAATGATCAACACAACAGGAAATGAGGAAATCAATGCAAAAGCAACCCACTGATACCAAGAGTAAATCATTTTTTTTGTCATGATGTCCATAAACTGCATGTAGAACCAAAACTTTTTTCTACTCTGGATAGAGCATGTAAAGGTTAAAAGGTGGTTAAAACTCCTGTCAACTTGTTTTATACTGTCTGTGTTCTCCCATTGAGGAGATCGCTCTTCTCTTCCTGTCCCAGGGATAGAACAGGAAGCCGAGCAAGAGAATTACCCTCATCTACTGTTCTGGTGACAACTGTAATTTTGGATTTCCCATCACTTTCTGTTTCTGTAATCATGTTCATCAGGACATATTAAGAGAGTAAATATTTCCAGCAGGGACACAGCTAAACCGTTCCTACTATACTAAGTTTTAGCTAGCCATACACTAAGTTGTTAAATAAAACAGAGAACAATGTGTGACTAAAGGAATTGAAAAAGCACACATATTTTGTGTCTTGATACAGGGTACTCACAGGCATAAATGACAGTTCGAAACAATCAAATTTTCATCTTACAAAGCAGAACACTCAAGCCGATTGATTATTATTGGGGAATACCTGATTTTCACTACTGCATTACATGATAATCACTTAATAGAAAAATGCAATCCGTTCATTCTTCTTGGTAATGAATTGCATTAAATGTTGTCCTTTCGTTACATTTTTCCAGCAACCAAAATTGGTAACATTTCTTTTAATGCGGACCGCCATAATGGGACATTCTGTGTTTGTCGTGGATGCATGCGTGCTCTTACCTTATACACTTTTATTAATTTTAAAGAATATGCAAACCTTATATTTACAGTTTTTAATCAGCTACACATTTTCAGGAAGGTCAGGTAAATGTCCATCCTTGTTCCTTAAGCTGGCCATAAAATGCTATATATTTTTTTTTAAATATTAAAGATTCATCCATGCATGCTAAACAGTATTGATGGACGAGTCTACCGCAGCGCCCTTTTCTGACAGCGGTGGGTGTGCCGCTGTCACAATACTTGAATAGTGAAGGCAGCTGATCCGCTGCCATCACTGTTCTCTCAAAGATTTTCCATCCGGCTTCTTTTGATTTTCTGATCAAATGATGCCGGGTAGAAGAGTGCTGACAGGGGCACCAACTGTGCGTAATTCATTCAGTGTAAGGCCAGCTTTAGTCTGAAGTGTGTTCTTTTTTACCTAATTCACAGTCCAATTATCAAACTTCTAAAAATCTCTACAACAAAACAAGAATAATATTATCTTTAGGTATCTTCAGCAGTTCTCTACCAAAGGGTTTCTATGCATGTGACTTGTGATGGTTGAACAGATTGGTTGTTTGTCAAGCTTACCCAATAAGCTGGTGCTCCTGATAGTTGGCTTACATTATTGGGTTCTATCTAGCAACTGCCAGTTGTCACAAGGGTAAGCATATTTTGTCACAGTGGCAGTTACTAGTCAATAAAGGAAACGTGGATTCAAAACTATAGACAGAAAAAAATATTCTGTGGGCTCTTTTTGCCTTGCTACAACTGAGCAAAATCTAAACTATGGATATATATGTGCAATGGTACATTTCTGACACTAGCAATAACACAAATGTTTACAATATTTTTTAATTAAAGGTTATAAATAAACAATGTAAAGACATTATAGTATACATTGATTAAGAAAGTAACTTTTGGCATCTGCACATATCTATCAATGTTAGACTTTAGGAATGAACTTTGAGACATAGAAAGGACAGTATCATGCATATGGGTGTAGTTTGGTTAGTGAGTACTAAAGATGAGCGAATAAATGTCCCTGGTTAAAGATTTTTGATTAGATCTGGCTCATTCATGGTCAGAGGATATTTGTGGAGAATTCCCAACACAATGGTGTTGTTTTTCTTGGTGTAACTCCACTTCCCTTAAGTATACCAGCCTGGAACAGGAAGAATAAAGGCTGGTATAGGAAGATGTTCATGAACATGCAGACCTGTTATGCTGATAACTCATAAGCCTGTCAATTTTGGACAAGCGATTTAAGTTGGGTCTTGAGCAGGGCACCCTCTCTCAAAACATGAGCCTGATAGCAACAGTGTCCGAAAAAATGTGGTGCAGGAGAAGAAATGTGAGACAAACCACTATATGAAACGTACTCACGAAGAAAGTGATTTGAATGGCACTCTCATGCACCAGTTACCCTACATCAGGGGTAGCCAAACTCCAGCTGTGGTGGAACTACAAATTCCATGAGGCATTGCAAGATTCTCACAGCCATGGACATGGCTCCCATCTTAAGGGCATACTGACTGGTATCAGCTCAGCAGTGGAACTGAACCCAGTAAAAGTGAGCGCAAATAAGTTCTACTACCTGGCGTGTTAATAAGTGAAGGGGTCTTCCGTAACAGTTATCTATTTACAAAGTAAAAGAAAAAATATGTATGCCTTTTAACAAAAATCCTAAAAAAAAGACTGAACTATGGATAAAACTGGGATTAAACAGTCACCCATGTATCCACTGTGCAGCTTCAAGAATCAGAAAAAAAAAATCCCAGATGCTGTAGAGTAAAAGTGCTGATGGTGTCATTCTTATTTCCTTAAGTCTGTTCAGAACCAATTTTACAACTGTGTGGCAAAGTTCCACATAATTGCCTACCAGCTTTGCTGCATCATCTTTTTGGCAGCACCGGTGGTTTCTTTTATTGTAGAGTGGTCTTTTGATAATTCGCTCATCTCTAGTAAATACAAAAAGGCAGGTTCCGCCTTACATAAAGAGACTTCCAATCTGTGGAAGTTTGTGCAAGCTTGCTTAAAGCAGCTGAGAGAATAGGATGGAAGTAAATGGTTTTAGCACATTTAAGCAAAACAAACAGAGAATGATATGAACAGGTTTATTTAACCATGTTTTTGGAAACAAGAAAGCGACTCTTACAGGCAGACGCATATTAAATGGACATTACAAACATTAACATAATGTGAAAAAGGACCAACTCTTCTTTCAAGCATCGTCAAAGGGCATCACTGGTCCGACACAACCCATGAAAATAATATGCAGCAGAGGACAAGCAGGACACATTATAGTTTATCATGTATTTATGTAATGCCCTCACAGTTACACTGTCGTCAATGGTTGTTCCTTGCAGATTTTGTTTTTCCCTTAATCCGGACACAATGTTGCCCCTCAGACACGTAGAAAGAAGTTTGGAGTCTAACTGTGGTCCATGAGCCAAAACAATCTCTGGCTGACAGTTCTGTATGTCCAATTTATTGTGAAGCAAAATAAGCCTTCAATTGTCCCTTACTTGATCTTAGTAGGTCAAATTCCCTGTCCAGTAGCTCTTCCTCTGTTAATTTGGAGAAGTTGTCATCCCCAAATGGATTCCAGCCAGACATATCAGGAGGATTGTTGGTATTCTGCTTTGGGAAACTGGATGCAGGCTCTTTGTCTGGGACGCCCATAGATCTGTGGAAAGAATAAAAGGTTAGTAACAGGCAACAATAAGCAGTGATATCCTATGCACTCTCAAAGAACCGTAGCAACATGCAGGACATTTTTGCTTCAAGTATTCTGACCTCCTTTGTGTTGTATCATGAAGAGCCCTACCCCTTTGCCGCACCTGTTTTACCAGAACACAAAACAGCAATTTTAGGATTGGCGCCTTTTCTGATCTGCAAAATTGTTCTGGGCCTCAGATGTCAGGGGATCAACACAATAGCCAGGTAACTAGAATATTCATGTTTTCAGCAATGGCAGTCCTATATTCCTCTCATAAGAGGTTAACTGTAAAACACACTTGTCAAGACAGAAATATGTAGACTGCAGTTGCTGGCTTTCATCTGAAAATGCCACTTGCCTGGCTTTCATCAGCTTCAGTACTTCAAAGCCACAGACCTGGATCATCCATGTAGCACATGAGGGATATTTTATGTGTTCCCATTCAAATAGCAAACCTTAAAAAGAATTGTAAAAAAATATAGATGTCGAGGGGGCGTGGTGAGCCGCTGACCAAGATGGCCGCGGTCTAAGCGAGCTCCGCACACTCGATCCGCAGGAAGGCACCACAAAGCCAACGAAAGCACACCACACATGTGCAGTCTTCCGCCCCTTAGTCAGGAGACATTGGGCACGCTAACCGAGCGCTGAAGCGGTGGGATGCGACGCAGCCGACGGCAAAAGGAGCCCCGATTCAGCAGAGGGAGAAGGGAGCCCAAGATGGCGGACACACCACGCCGTGAGGGGACATGTGCAGCCAAAGCAGCTGCACCTGAGGTATTTGACTCCTCTTCACTGGACAGCTTGCCCCTCACCCCAGTGGAAACCCATGAGAGTGACAGAGATGCCGCCCTGCTTGACAAGTTCTTCAGCATGTTACAAACGGAACTATCAGCAGCTACTAGCAAGCTGGCAGCCACACTGACCAGGGAGATTAGAGAGATTGGGGCCCGCACAGATATGTTGGAACAGAAAATGGATAACGTGATCACTGTAATTGAATCACAGGAGAAAGAGATGGATTCCTTCTCTGACAAACTGACAGTGGCATTGGATAAAATGGAGGACCTGGAGAACAGGGCCAGACGTGGTAACCTGCGGATCAGGGGACTGCCTGAGTTTATAGAGGACCTAACCTCCTCAGTTACAGCCCTTTTCCAGGAACCGGTTCCGTCAGTACCGATAGAACGCCTTGAATTTGACTGTATACACAGGGCATTGGCCCAAAAGCGCCGTGATGGCCCACCGAGAGACATCATCATTAAATTTACATACTACAAAACGAAAGAAGCCATCCTGCACGCCGCGCGTGATCGCCGGGACCTACAGTTCCAGGGGCACCCATATCAAATCTTTGTGGACCTGTCCCCAACTACCATTCAAAAACGCAGGGATATGAAACGGTTCCTTGCTATCCTAAGAGAAAATAACATTCCATACAGATGGGGATTCCCCTTTAAAGTGATGTTTAGTCACAAAGATGGACCGTTTACTGCAAACACGCCGGATGAACTTCGCAAGATTCTGGTTAGCCTATTCCTTCTATCCACCTCCCAGCTGACCTCTACCCCATCGGGGGATAGCCAGCGCCCAGCCTTGCCAACTCCGATCTGGGAAAAGAAGCAGAAGATGAGAGCCGCTTTGCAGAAAACGAGGGGGGACAGCCCTCACCTTTTTGATCCGGCCTGAGGGTCTCACTTATCGCTTTGAGTTTAACCCCCTTCTTCCTCAGGATTTCGCCCGACGACCTCCTGGAAATGTCAGCCGGTGAGATGGCAATGTTGGACCGGTTTAAGGACTGCCGTTATACAGCTCATGGTCTATTTTTCCTTTTAAGTTGCTCTACCGCCACTGCACCTGCAAGTTGAATCGTTCGATAGTTTGTTTATCTGCTGTTTATTAGAGGCTCCGTCCGGGCTCCACTGTTATATATGCAAGCATGCAGGTGCGGTGGCTACCTTGAGCAACCCGTGTTCCGCTCCTGCCCTGTAGCTGATCCGAAGCAGTGTTATATGCATTCCTACCCGTGACTTTTAAAAATCTTTAGCTTTACTAAGGTGTACTGTTTGATTGCTTTCCCTGGGGATCGGTGGGATCGCGCCCCCCACGAAGACAGGCAGAGTAAGTGGTTTTCCCCCTCGCCTGGCTTGTTCCGCCGACCTCCAAGGACGGTTAAAACTGTTTTGTTTGATTGTTTTGTCTTTGTCTGTCTTAACCTGTATTCTTTCCTCTATTGAAGATCCTTCCCCAACCTGTCCCTGCCCTCTTTTTGGGTCCCCTATAGTGATGACTCCTCCGGTTCAACTTCCGTGCTACACCATCTCCTGCCCTCCACTCCACTGTGCGGCTGCTATAGGTGAGGCAAGTTCAGGAACAGAAAATGGATAACGTGATCACTGTAATTGAATCACAGGAGAAAGAGATGGATTCCTTCTCTGACAAACTGACAGTGGCATTGGATAAAATGGAGGACCTGGAGAACAGGGCCAGACGTGGTAACCTGCGGATCAGGGGACTGCCTGAGTTTATAGAGGACCTAACCTCCTCAGTTACAGCCCTTTTCCAGGAACCGGTTCCGTCAGTACCGATAGAACGCCTTGAATTTGACTGTATACACAGGGCATTGGCCCAAAAGCGCCGTGATGGCCCACCGAGAGACATCATCATTAAATTTACATACTACAAAACGAAAGAAGCCATCCTGCACGCCGCGCGTGATCGCCGGGACCTACAGTTCCAGGGGCACCCATATCAAATCTTTGTGGACCTGTCCCCAACTACCATTCAAAAACGCAGGGATATGAAACGGTTCCTTGCTATCCTAAGAGAAAATAACATTCCATACAGATGGGGATTCCCCTTTAAAGTGATGTTTAGTCACAAAGATGGACCGTTTACTGCAAACACGCCGGATGAACTTCGCAAGATTCTGGTTAGCCTATTCCTTCTATCCACCTCCCAGCTGACCTCTACCCCATCGGGGGATAGCCAGCGCCCAGCCTTGCCAACTCCGATCTGGGAAAAGAAGCAGAAGATGAGAGCCGCTTTGCAGAAAACGAGGGGGGACAGCCCTCACCTTTTTGATCCGGCCTGAGGGTCTCACTTATCGCTTTGAGTTTAACCCCCTTCTTCCTCAGGATTTCGCCCGACGACCTCCTGGAAATGTCAGCCGGTGAGATGGCAATGTTGGACCGGTTTAAGGACTGCCGTTATACAGCTCATGGTCTATTTTTCCTTTTAAGTTGCTCTACCGCCACTGCACCTGCAAGTTGAATCGTTCGATAGTTTGTTTATCTGCTGTTTATTAGAGGCTCCGTCCGGGCTCCACTGTTATATATGCAAGCATGCAGGTGCGGTGGCTACCTTGAGCAACCCGTGTTCCGCTCCTGCCCTGTAGCTGATCCGAAGCAGTGTTATATGCATTCCTACCCGTGACTTTTAAAAATCTTTAGCTTTACTAAGGTGTACTGTTTGATTGCTTTCCCTGGGGATCGGTGGGATCGCGCCCCCCACGAAGACAGGCAGAGTAAGTGGTTTTCCCCCTCGCCTGGCTTGTTCCGCCGACCTCCAAGGACGGTTAAAACTGTTTTGTTTGATTGTTTTGTCTTTGTCTGTCTTAACCTGTATTCTTTCCTCTATTGAAGATCCTTCCCCAACCTGTCCCTGCCCTCTTTTTGGGTCCCCTATAGTGATGACTCCTCCGGTTCAACTTCCGTGCTACACCATCTCCTGCCCTCCACTCCACTGTGCGGCTGCTATAGGTGAGGCAAGTTCTCCTCCACCCTACCAATGGCAAGTTTACACTACTATCCCACAATGTCCAGGGGTTCAATTCACCATCGAAACGTCATAAAGCATTTTCGTATTATTCCTCATGCCATACAGATGTTGCATGCCTGCAGGAAACGAGATTTTCGAAGACCTCCTGTCCACGTTACCTCCATAAGCACTTCCCCAGCTTTCACTGCGCTAACTTTACTGAAAAGAAGAGGGGGGTCCTAATAGCCTTCAGACGGTCTCTACCCTTTATATGCCACACCGAAATAGCTGACCCCACGGGCCGCTACATCATCCTGGTTGGCACCCTATTTGATGTAGAGGTGACTTTTGTCAACTACTATACCCCTAATGCCCATCAACTCAGATTTTTATCCCACTTATTTCAAACAGTGGCACATCATGCCAAGGGCCTTATATTTCTGGCCGGGGATTCCAATCTAGTTATTTACCCAATGCGGATAAAACCAAAAAAGCACAAGACCCAGGCCAGAATAGGAACGTGCCCTTAGCTAACTCCGCCTTTCTCACTCTACTGAATGACCACCGCCTAGTAGATGTGTGGCGGGAATTGAACCCGGCGGCTAGGGATTTTACATTTAACTCTAACCCACACCAGATTTTTTGTAGAATAGACCATGTCTTTACTCCCCAACGTTGCCTAAATCACTTTACATCGGCTAAAATTAAAGCAGTCCCATGGTCAGACCATGCCCCAAATAGCATCCTTCCAAGAAAACCTCACCTCTCTCTATTCTAAATCTCGCACCTTTAGCGCTGAGAAGGCAGACGATATCTTACAAGATGTTGTACTCCCACAGATCAAACGGGATGACTTGGACCACCTCAGCTCCGAGGTAACCACTGAATAAATACTTCTGGCTATTAAGCACCTCAAACCATCTAAAGCCCCTGGCCCTGATGGCTTTTCGGCCCTATACTATAAAAAAAACTGGCTCCCCTCCTGGCACCTAAACTGGCCGCACTGTTCAACTCCCTCAGACAGGGCCAAACATTGCACCCCTCCTCACTCCTAGCCTACGTATCCATGATTCCCAAACCTGACAAAGACACACTAGACCCCAATAACTATCGGCCCATATCTTTACTGAACGTTGATATCAAAATTCTAACTAAAATCCTCGCCACACATCTCAATTCAATACTCCCCAATATCGTCCATAGGGACCAAG